TCTCTCTCACGTTCACTGTCTCTCTCTCCCTCTCTCACGCTCACTGTCTCTCTCTCTCATGTTCACTGTCTCTCTGTCTCTCTTACGCTCACTGTCTCTCTCTCTCTTTCTCTCTCACGCTCACTGTCTCTCTCTATCTCTCACGCTCACTGTCTGTCTCTATCTCTCACGCTCACTGTCTCTCTCTCTCTATCTCTCACGCTCACTGTCTCTCTCTCTCTCACGCTCACGGTCTCTCTCTCTCTCTGTCTCACGCTCACGGTCTCTCTCTCTCTCACGCTCACTGTCTCTCTCTTTCTCTCTCACGCTCACTGTCTCTCTCTTTCTGTCTCACGCTCACTGTCTCTCTCTCTCTCTCTCATGCTCATTGTCTGTCTCTCTCTTTCTCTCACTCACTGTCCCTGTCTCTCACGCTCACTGTGTGTCTCTCTCTCTCTCTCTCTCACGCTCACTGTCTCTGTCTCTCATGCTCACCGTCTCTCATGCTCACTGTCTCTCTCTGTTCTCTCTCACACGCTCACTGTCTCTCTCTCTCTCACACTCACTGTCTGTCTGTCTTGCTGTCTCTCTCTCATGCTCACTGTCTGTCTGTCTGTCTGTCTCTCTCTCTCTCTCACATGTTTACTGTCTCTCTCACGCTCACTGCCTCTCTCGCTAGCGCGCATGCTGTCTATCGTGCGCATGCTGTCTCTGTCTCTCGCTTTCACACACTGTCTGTCTCTCTTTCTCTCATGCTCACTGTCTCTCTCTGTCTCACGCTCACTGTCTCTCTCACGTGTTCACTGTCTCTCTCTCTCTCTCTTACACTCACTCTCTCTCTCTCTCTCGCTCACCGTCTCTCTCTCTCGCTCACCGTCTCTCTCTCTCATGCTCACCGTCTCTCTCTCTCTCTCATGCTCACCGTCTCTCTCTCTCTCTCATGCTCACTGTCTGTCTCTCTCTCTCTCACGCTCACTCTCTGTCTCTCTCTCATGCTCACAGTCTCTCTCGCGTGCACGCTATTGCACGCTCACCGTCTCTCTCTCTCTGTCACGCACACTGTATCTCTCTCTCTTTCTCTCACGCACGCTGTGTCTCTCTCACGCACGCTGTGTCTCTCTCACG